TTTTAATTAAAAATTTATTTCTAAGCTATTTAGTCAAATACTTAAAACTGTTTTCTTTAGTTATATAAATCTAGTCATATATAGCGAGACAAAATAACTCTTTTTGTAAGGAGAAATCAAAATTTCCTCATTTACAAATAATTTTCTAGGATTTTATCATCGTAACATTGTTTTTTTCTTCTTCTGAAAATTCAAGTATGTAAAATATGACTAATCTTTAAGAGATGGTTCATATTTATCTACTTGAAAATATTTGAGAGAGATGAAATTAGTACATTAGAATGACTCCTTCCATGGAACACTGCCAACAACAACAATATGGAAAGAATATAGTCATTTAAGCTATACAAAATACAGACAAATATGTAGTGTATAATTAGTTTGTCATCAAATATTTTAATTACAAAAAAAAAATATCATTGTGTTTTTTTTTTTTTAATCGAAAAATATTATTGTGTTTACAAGCACTAACCTCAAACCCGGATTTCCATCCAAACGCCACAATCTCGGAAATGATCTCATCATCACTCAAAAAAATTTTCTTCACTCGGTGGTGGGCCGTTTTTGTGCCAATGAGCTCGAAGCTAGTTAGAGTCGATCGAGACATATTTATTATCTGTTTCAACTCATCAATGGAAAGACCATCGAGCTAGTTCCAATCAGTGGCGAACGTACATATACATATAGTGAGTCAGTTGAACCACCATTTTTTTTTCTTTACTTTGTTATTACATTGGTTTAATTGTTTGAAATTTGGTTTGAGTTGTCATTCGAACCATGTTTCAATTTAGTTTTTTTTGTTCAATTTATATTTTGAACCATAAGCAAAAAACTATTTAAAGCACATTTGCTTATTTTTGAACCCATCGTATAAAAGTCTAGTTGTTTAAAAATAATCGTGACTCACTTTATTAAATTAGAAAAAAAAATTCAATCCACTTTGTAGTAATTATAACACTTTTCCTTTAAATAATCTAACCCTCTTAAAAAAAATAAAAATCTTGAAGACAAATCGCTGTTAACGAATTAGAGTTTAGTTTTTAAATGACTGTTTAGTTTGTTTATCTAGAAAGATGTGTTCGAAACTATTACAAGTGACACCAGCAGAGAAAAAACTAAATACTCGTTTGAAAGATCGTAGAATATTTTCGTAGAATGGTTTATATTTTTATTAAAGAATTTTTTTTTAAAAAAATTACAATAATTTTAAATTATATATTGATTTTGGTAAAAAAAATATTGGGTCTGCCACTGGTTCCAATCCAAGGGATCCACAACAATTACGTATATTATTTCCCATTCAAGGGTTTGCAAATTCATATCGTAATTTTGGTTTTCGGTCATCCGGATGGAGAGGTGATTTTCCATAGGAGAGATGCTCTCCACTCCTCGAAAATCAGCATCATAGCCAACATGTTTCTTCAACTTTCCGTGTCTATCTTCTTTATGTATTAATTTTTAAGTGATTGGATCTCAATT